TTGTGGGTGTTACCAGTTTTGAGATCTGGTTGTAAATCTTTCTATGGTTGTTCAGGAAGGCAAAGCATGTATACCTATGCCTCTGTCTATACTGGAAGAGTTATACTTCTTTCTATTATGTTGCTAGTGGTTATTCTAGGACTATCGATGTGATTACTGAATTTATCAATATCTATTCACTGTGAATATTGTTGCTATTCACACTTCACATTTCACACCTGGCACTTTCTGCCTCTCATTTTTGAATTCTCACTTTATATTTTATACTTCATACTTAACAAATGTAATAACCTTATAATAGTATACTTTCATTTACTTACTTTCTTTCTACTATAAGAATTAGAAAATAGAAATTTAAACTGCCATTTTTAGAAAACATTACATGGAAAACTCAAAAGAATTTTGAAATATTATTTAAAGTAATAGGAAAGTTTAACAGGTAGCTAGATATAAAATTAATATGTAAAAGTCAGATGTATTTCTATTCACTAGCAGCAAACACCTAGAAAGAATAATTAAAAAGAAAATTCAGCCCTGGCTGGCATAGCTCAGTGGATTGAACATGGGCTGCAAACCAAAGCATTGCAGGTTCGATTCCCAGTCAGGGCACATGCCTTGGTTGCAGGCCACAGTCCCCAGCAACCGCACCTTGATGTTTCTCTCTCTCTCTTTCTCCCTCCCTCCCCTCTATAAAAATAAATAAACAAAATCTTTAAAAAATAATAATAAAAAGAAAATTTAAAATTTGTATAAGACCACTACAAAGGAAATTTATTAATGTTTGTTAAAATATAAGGGACCAAATAAATGGACTTTTATCTTCTCCACATTGTAACTTACTCCACAGCACTGCCTCCACTCATGCTGTCTTCATCTTCCCAAAACCTGAGGCAGAAGATTAAGGAGGGGCTTGTCTCTGGGACCCTGCTTAGGAAACTCACACTCACCTCTGGAAGTGAGACTGGATTACATTAATAATTTGTAAAATTATTATGCTTAAGGCAAAACATTCTAAATGCTTGGTAAGAATCCACTGATATAAAAAGAGCAATGTCACAGCTATATTAAGTACCTTAGTAAATTCCAGCTACTATAATAAAGTGCCATAGACTGCGTGGATTATAAACAACAAATTTACTCCTGACAGTTCTGGAGGCTGGAAAGTCCAAGATCAGGATGCCAGCATGGTCAGGTTGTGGTCAGGGCCCTCTTCCAGGTTGCAGACCACCGTCTTCTTCATCTGCTTGTTGTGTCCTCACAGGGACAAAAAAGGGAAGAAAAAACCCTCTTGGGTCTGTTTTCCAAGGGCACTGATCCCACTCATGAGGGCTTCACCCTCGTGACCTACTCACCTCCCAAAGTCTCTACCTCCTAATACCATACTCCCACCTCCAAATTCATACTCCCAATATAGGAATTTGGGGGAGGGACACAAACATTCAGTCCATTGAACCAAGGTTTATAGGGACCATAACACTTTGATTTATTTAACATTGATAGTTTACCACATTCACAGCACTGTGCTTGAATGTCCCCTATGCCTAAGAAGCTCAAAGTCTAATGTGTGTAGGGGGGTATGTGTGCATGTGTGTCCATCTGTGTGTGCATAGACACACACATCTATGTGTGAGTGCACAGAATGGGGAAGAGAGGAGGGGCAAGTGTATACCTTAATTAAAATACCAGGCAGAAGGGCGTGAATGCTAATTTCTTTGTTTTTAAAAGGAAGCTGTTTTTCAAATAAATTTAGTCAAAGATAATTGCACTAAATAGAGAATGATATAAAGAAAAATTAAAATTAATTGTATTCCCATTGCCCAAAAAGTAATGTTTTTCTGTGAACCATAAGGGTATTTCTCTGCACGCACATCCATGTTTGTAGGGGTCAGAGCAGAGATGCTGCTCCACTAGACGGGGCACCAGGCAGTCCAGACACCTAGGCTCCTTGACATCCTACTGGAGCAGCCCCTACATCAGAGAATGTTCAGGAATACTAGAAAAGCAGTCCACAGCACCCCCTGATTTTCATGGGGCCCAGGGAGAAAGTGTGAATCTTCAGGCTCCTTGAGACAGATTGGGCTGGAGTGGGTTACTGGAGAGGGATTACAAAAGAAGGGTAGTATTCTTAACCAGTAGGGAGGTTGGGCTCTGGCATCCAAAGACTGGCAGGAACAGGTACCAGGACAGTGTGATACTGGGTTTGGCCATCCCCTGACCCCTCCACGGCAACTCCTTTCGAGAGCCTGCATGCTCAGGATAAAAGAACTGTGATGTAGAATAAAGCCCTGTCTTTCTTACTGCTATGGAGACCTACAATTTCCTCAGGGAACTGAGAGAAATAGCAAGCGCTCCAGCCTAGTGAGGTGAGGGGTGGTTAAGAGGATTGTATTCAGTGGGTAGATTGGTAGTCACACAGAAAAGAGCTGGGACAAAACCCTTTAGCAAACTGTGACAATGGGTCACAAAGTAAAAGCAGTGGACACATGGGCCAAAGGGATGCAAAGTTCTCATTCAATGAGAATATTCTCTTTTCTTTTAGGACTCCACAGAGTAAAAATTGGAGATGGAATTAAGTTGAAAGATTAGATTTCCTGCTAATCACACGTGCGGGGCCTCCCCTGGGATCTGTAGTATTGCTACACATGTGAAGCATTTATCCTCCATGACAGGTAAAGTGAAGTAACATATGTGCATAACCACACTCACCATGCATTTCTTTATAAAAACTGAGTCATGTCATATATGCGATTTATTACTGTGCTTTATTCACATCGGGTGGTGGTGGCTTGTGAGGATAATCAGCTCAGTTCCAGAGGGCAGACAGCTACATTTTCTTAACATAGATACTATAGTAGGTGGGAGTAAATTGTGGAGTATATATAAGCATAAAACAAGCATATAATAACCTATACATTATAAGGAGTAAAATCTGATACTCAGATATAGCCAGAATGTCATGGGAGCTCAAAACGTGAAGACATCAAATATGAGTAAGAAAACCTGGGTAAGCTTTGAGCTGGAGGTGATATTTAAGGCTTGAAATATAAGCAGAATTTGAACAGGCTGAAATTGCAAACCAGATTCCAGATGGGCTGCATGGCAACAGGAAAGATACGAGAGCAAAGACAAAGGGCCTGTTCAAATGGTAACAGACTGCTTTTTGAGGGGTAGATATATCAAGATGGAAATGCCTAGCAGGCAGTTAGGGATTTTTCTAGAAATGTGGAGTTGGGAATCTGCATTGAGGAGATGGTTGATGCAAAGGAGGAAAATACCTGTACAAAAGAAATGTGAGAGACCTGAAGAGAGAATTTTGAGAATCACTTCTTATTTAAGGACAAAAAAATATCCAAAAACAGAAAGAAAAAACAAGTCATTCAGAGAATTGGGAAGACAGTACAGTGTACCTAAAGATAAGGAACCACGAGGATTTAAGGAAGATGACAAGCTGTGAAAGATGAGAACCAGGACAAGACAACTTACCCAAGACAATGAGATGCTGAGTAATGACTTTCAGTAGAACAATCTCAATACAAAGGGGTTTCTGAGTAAATCGGTTCAGCGAAGGCAGCATTCCTCAGGCTCCAGTGCAGTCTCTGCGCCCTCTTGATGTCCCTCTCCAAAGCCTCTTCACCCAGAGAGGAAGGAGGACTCCTCCTCGTGAATGGGTGCCAGGATGGTTCGGGCCTCCCAACGCCACACACTCAACTAACTTTACCCTTCAGAAGTTAAAAGAACAGACGGATACTAGCTTAAAGTCATAGTAAATAATCAGGTGTGGATTTGGGTGTCTTTCAGTTCTGAAACATTAGGAGGGTCCGTTTTGACAGATTTAAGAGATGATATAATTGGCTATTACAATAGCATACAGTCATAGATATTTCATAATCTAAAAAATACATTTCAAATGATACTGAATGTTTCATGAGTATTCATTAAACCATATTTTTCCAAGCAATTGAAAAACATGTATTTGTTAATATTTACTTTTGCTTTTAGTATCTTTTGTTTCTGTCTTGAAAATTAAAGATTCAGTACCATAGAAAAGACTATAAGGTGCTCAAAAATAACATACACTAAGCTGTACTCTTTTATAAGGAAGTCTTAAAAAAAGAAAAAATAAAACAAAAATTTCCCAAAGTGGGCTTTAAAATTTAGGCTAGATTTTAAAATATAGACTAATAATAAATGTAACTCAAGAATATACAAAATAAAATAGATTCAACTTGATGTATTATCTAATTAATAGATGCTTATTATCTAATTATTATCTCATAAAGGCACTACACTAGTGGATGCAAAAATGCAAAAGTTCAATTTCAATTTAATTAAAAAGAGGATTCTCAGAAAAGTCATCTTTAGATAATACATAAAAATGAGAAGAAGGCTTTCCTTTAAAAGAAAATCATTCTACTTGGATATTGTGAAAAGATTTACAGTAGAGGGAGCTACAGTGAAGAGAAAAATATGTTTAAATTTAATTTTCCAAAAGTCCACATAGACATTTAAAAGTAGAATTATCAAGCAAAAAAAATGATTGTTTTACATAATATCAGACATTTCTACAACAAGCATCTAGGGAAATCTTTATTTTTGAAAGTATCAAGCATTATATTGGTTGCTTTGGAGATTACATGCTCAGTTTCTTCTCCCAATTTTACCAATTAGCAAAGTTATTTTATCCCTTGGGGGGAAAATAGAAGAGGCAGAGAAAAGATAACTATAGATGCTTCTTCCATACTATTCTGTAAATTCATTTCCACTCAGGACACAAAGATTGTGGGGGAAAAATACATTCTCTTATCATTTGTCTATAGGTACCCTGGTTTTCTGGGGACAGTCACAATTTGCATGCATGTCCTCAGGGGATTATTAGTAGAGCAACTTTTAATTTTCAAAGCTGTCCCAATTTAGACAATCAGTTATACGGATACCCTACATATGTAGCAATTGTCCTATGTAGACTCTGGAAAAGTATAATACCAAAAACAGAAATTTAAAAGACTGTACTTTCAGGAATCATTTCTCTAGTTTGTTACCGGAGGAGTTTCTCTGAATGTATGACACACTAGAAACCATGAGGAGGAGGAGGCAGAGTTCTTCTCTCCTGAGTGTGAAGCTGGTTCTTGGTGTTGCTACTGCAGCTGCCATTTTCATTGGTGTTTGGTCTTGTCCTGCTTTGGGAGAACAATCCGGAGAGGACATGATCTGAGTTTAAAAAGAGAGAGAGAGCAAGACAGAGAGAGAGAAGAAAGAAAAAATTCATATTTCTATTTACCCTACAAAGTGGAGAAATGCGAAATTTCAAAATATACAGGATGTGTCAAAAGTAGGTTTACCGGTTGTTCGTATGTAAAATAATGCAATATTAATAAACAAGAATGAACACTGTTGCTCGTGCTCAAAACTGTAAACCTACTTTTGCCAAACCCTTTATATTTATACCTCAAACATGCAATAAAATTGGTGATGTCAAGTAGATATAATACTTTGATTTATTAGCATCGTCGACAAAAAAATGGGCTACATACTACAATTGCAAAGCTCAGGAGAGGCCTGTGTGGCAGCATTACAAACTCAGAGACAGAAAGGAACCACACAGAATGGTCTAAACATTAAAATTCCTAATTAAAAGCAGTTTGTGGAGGTAGTCATGTCCTAGGCCTATATCTTCCTTGACTGACGTCAATCTTTATGTTAAGTGACCTCATCTGTTGTCTTTTAGCATCTAAGATATCTTTGAAATGTCAGAGTAATCTTTTCCAGAACCCTCGGGGCATACACACTGAACACCAGACTACAGAGCCCTCATTGTTGCTTTGTTCCTCTACTACCATCTCTAAGTGCTGTAAATGCTAATTACCAACTATCCTGTACCGGGCAATGTAAAAGAAATATGTTTCTCTCCTTTTCGTCCCTATCCAGTCTCAGAGATTTTCTCCACTTTCGTTTCTCCCTAATCTACCACCAATAAATTTCATGTAACCCCCTTACATCTCCTCCTTTAATTCTAAGTATAAATTAAGCTGTAAAACCCCCATTAAATGGAACGTTTTCTCAGTGAGATATTGTTTCCTGGAAATTGTTGTCAGCTTGGCTCAAACAAACTCATAAAAATTCTCTACAGGTTTTAAATGTTTCTTACATCAACAACTTTATTCTTTATATATGAGAGCTAGTTTAAACTTAGTAATAAGAGTAGGTTTTTTTTAATTTAACTGTAGAATTGTTAATCATCCCCAATAAACCAATTTGTATTTTTTTACTCTTTCTCCCCATGACAGGAAAGGGCTTTATATAATCTATCATTCAAGCCAACAAATACACTAAAATATTTCATCTATATCTGAGCAAATATTTAAGTCTATGAATGTAAAATAGACCAAAATTCTTTTCCTAGATTAATAATTCCCAACATTAGGCCCACCCCACTCAATTCTTCTTAAGATAAAAAAATAATAATTTTTTAAAATTTTAATAAGTTTAATAAAATCACTTCAGGTGCCTCAGTATAGAAACTGGAAGTGATGAGAAATAATATGAATAAATGCCTAAATTGATTTTATTCTCATTAGCTAATAATACTTAAGGAAAAGGGTAGTGGGTAAAGGAAAATTAGTGAAGCCTATTCTTCAAGGAATTTACAATCTGTTCATTGAAATAGATATAAATAACAGTGTTGCATGATAAACTATATTTCAAAATAACATTGAGACTTAATATGGATGACTATTACATGAGAAAGAATTTAAAATGCAGAGGAGTGATTACATCCTAATTAGTTCATAGCAGATAAAAGTCTTATTTGATTTTTTAGGTACCAAAGAAAAAGAAACATCTATTTTTATTTTATAATGAATTCATGTACCAAAAAAATGTTCAGAAAAAATTCACATTAAAATTGAAGTCAAACAAAGACCTAAATTAAAAGGTAAGACATTCTTTTTAGGGGGAAAAAAAAGTATGTTGGACAAAAAGAATAACAAAAAAAATGAAGCCAAAACAAATAAATGAAAAATGTAACAAAAGGATTCATAATTGCTTTTCAAAGTATTTTAAATTCTAGAAAAACAAGCCATCTGGTAAAAGGGCTGGAAATTGAACATAGTGGCTGAAAAGAAGCTACGAAAATAAATATTTTTTTCTGTATTGCTTTTTAGCAAGAAAATTAAATTAAATGTGCGACGGAGAAACAATGACTGCACATAAGGCTGCAGGGAAAACAGAAGAGAATGCACTGAATGTGAACCAGTCCGAGGGAAATAACATCACTTTAACTGGTACATGGCAGCCCGCATGTGGCCTCCGCCAGAGCCTCAAATGGAGAGAAGCAGGATGACAGAGCACCTCTTCACTCTCTGGCTTCCTCTCACTTAAGAACTCCCAGCTCGAAGACAGAGCACATACCCAGAGAGAGGGAGAAATGCAGTGATTTATTGCCTTCACTCTCACTTTCTCGCTCCCCTCTTCTTCCCATAAGTCGCACTAGTTGGAAAAGGAGTAGGTTTTGCCCCAGAGAGGGCCTGGCTCTCCCAGCTAGAAGGGGTGACAGCTCTCTGTCACTTGGAGAAATATTTAGCTGAGTTCTACTGAGCTTACAAAATTCCTTATTGCATTACAGTGTCTTGAGTAAACAGAAGTTTCCCAATTTAAATAGGAATACAGGTACTTCAAACCTACTGTAAGAAGTGTCTTCAGAAGCTGATGTCTTCAGGAAATGTAAGGAAGTAGCACCATCTGCTGGGTGAGAATGAAAGGAAAATTTAAAGAATTATTTCTTGAGAAATGTGTAATTGTGGGCAGTTTAAAAATTATAATTGTCATAGATACAGTCAAGTTTCTAAATAAAAGTTTTTTGAGAGCTTAGGAAAGGAGACCTAAGAAATGAAATCCTTCTCAGAACACAGAGACAAATAGGGCGTGTATGACTTTTCACCTTACTGTCTCTGATTGATGGCTGCACACATGAAAAACCCAGGTGAATTCAGGTGACCTCTGGTAATGATGCCGGGGTTGTTTACAACCTGAAGACTATTATCATCAAAGAACTGACTGTCTTGGTAATCTGAGAAGTTTACACAGGCAAGGCCAAGGCCTCCACTTCATTTAATACTTAGTAAACGGCCAGCAGGGGGGCAGCCCTTCACACCAGTTTTTGGCCAGTGTTGACATAACAAAAGAAATGTCCAAACCTATATGCAGAGAATTTTTTTTTAGTTTATTTGAGCCAAAACGACAACATATGTTTCGAAGTAAAATCTCAACAGGTTTTGAAAATGCTCTAGGGAATGACAGTTTTGCAGCTTATTTTACATTAGAATCAAAGAACACTTAAGCAGGGTTACATGTGATCCATTGGTGGCAAGTTAAGGAGGCAGGAGAAAGCATAGCAGAAAAGTCTGTAGGAGAGGACAAAAGGCAAAGTGGAGACACACATACTTCTTTTACATTGTGCAGGGCAGGGTATGAGATAGTTAATAACATCTACATCTCAGAGATGGTATTCAGGGAACAAGATAACAATGAAGGGTTCTGTGGTCTCCTGGTGGCCTTTGTGCCTTTGAGGGACAGGAGAAGAAATTAACTCTGACATTTCAAAGGTATGTTATTCTAGACACGTTAGAACAACAGACAGAACTCACTTAAAGTAAAGATTGACCTTTGCTAAGGGAGCTGTAGGCCTGGGACAAGACTACCTGCCATGGCCTGCCCACGTCATAGGAATTTATGATCAGACCATCCTGTGTGGTTACTTTCCATCTCTGAGTTGGTTGAACCGGCCATGAGGCTCCCCTGAGCCTGTAGGACTAATTGTATAGCCCCCTTTTCTTTCACACTGCTGTCAGAAATCAATGGTGAGATGTTTTGACAAAGGCGAGAAAAATAAAAGTTTTCTGCTTTTTGGCTTCAAGTATCTGTGCCCCAGTGAACTAACTGAGATGTTCCCAGGACATAAAGATTGCTTCCTTGAGAAATTAAGTTTGAAGTTCTATCTGGCCTTTTTTGAACAGTTAACTTAGTGACACAGAACAGCAATGCAATGAACCTGTTCTGCAACCCCACCCTGCCATTTGTATCCCAGCTTTATCTGCGATGGGCAGCAGCAATGAGAGAATGATAGACATGGAAGGTACAAGAACAGTCAAAGGAAATGGATCTTGAAGCCTCTTACAACATGTTACCAACCCATTCATCATTGAGCCTCATTCTGCCAGGTTTCTTTAAGGGGTTCTTTTCCCCTCTGGGTAATAAAGGCACATTTATTTTATATTGTACTAGTCAGTAGGCTTATGTAGTCAATAAAGATGACTGAGCCGAAGAATTGAGAGCCCAGACTTTGGAAGCAGATTACTTGATTCTTTTTTTTTAATATATTTTATTGATTATGCTATTACAGTTGTCCCATTTCCCCCCTTCACTCCCCTCCACCCTGCACACCCTCTCCCACCCACATTCTCCCCCTTTAGTTCATGTCCATGTGTCATAAGTTCTTTAGTTTCTACATTTCCCATACTACTCTTGCCTTCCCCCTGTCTATTTTCTACCTACCATCTATGCTACTTATTCTCTGTACCTTTTCCTATTCTCTCCTCCTCCCACTCCCCTGTTGCTAACCCTCTATGTGATCTCCATTTCTGTGGTTCTGTTCCTATTCTAGTTGTTTGTTTAGTTTCTTTTGGTTTTGTTTTAGGTGTGGTTATTAATAATTGTGAGTTTGCTGTCATTTTACTATACATGTTTTTTTTTCTCTTCTTTTCTTAGATAACTCCCTTTAACATTTCATAAAATAAGGGATTGGTGATGATGAACTCCTTTAACTTGACCTTATCTGAGAAGCACTTTATCTGCCCTTCCATTCTAAATGAAAGCTTTGCTGAATAGAGTAATCCTGGATGTAGGTCCTTGCCTTTCATGACTTGGAATATTTCTTTTCAGCCCCTTCTTGACCTGTAAAAAGTGACCTGTAAGGTCACTTTTGAGAAATCAGCTGACAGTCTGAGGGGAACTCCTTGGTAGGTTACTTGATTCTTTTCTGAGATCCAATTACTCTCACCCTGTCCCCCATTTGCCATTCCTCTCACCCTGAGCAACCACTGTAAAAACCATTGTAAAAAAGTTAGCTTGGCATAAAGATAAAGTGTGTTTTATAGTCAACTGTCTAACAAGTACATCGAGTTTTTTTAAAGCAAAAAAAGATAAAACACAAGTATCAC